AACCTACGACCTTTGGAATACTAGCCCAATGCTCTTCCAACTGAGCTACGCGGTCAGGACGGTTCGAGTAAGCGATATTTCGGAACTGAGTCTAGTTCCTTCGATATCAGTGTAATCTAATATTTATGACACTGATATCGAAGGAACTAGACTCAGTTCCGAAATATCGCTTACTCGAACCGTCCTGACCGCGTAGCTCAGTTGGAAGAGCATTGGGCTAGTATTCCAAAGGTCGTAGGTTCGAATCCCGCCGTGGCCAGGCATATTTTTCAAGCCTGCCCGGTGTGGATATACACTCAGAGTAACATCACACAAACATCTTATTCACCTGAGTACATTACACCAACACAGCAGATTTCATAAATACCATTTGCCGGCAACTCTTCCTCTTCACAGGCATTTTCCTTGTTTTGACTCATCTGTTGTAAATATATATTCTTTATATGTCTTCTGTATATTTTTTACTATAACGGGTTATTTTACTTAAACACGAGTATTAAAATGAAAAGTTACCTTACAATTTTAAATGTCCTCCCAAAAATATACGACGACTTGGTTTTACTTAAACTTGAAAATGGCGCGAAATGAAGGGGCCAATTTGATTGGTGGATAGAATGGAAACAATATTAATATTAACATGAAGTATGAACACTAATTGAATGGTGATTTATAAAAAGTGAACCAAATAAATCTGAAGACTTCAAACATGTCAAGTAATAGATATTTTATTTACCTATAAGATCAGATTTTAGAATCCTAAAATTGCCCTCCTCTGGCACTTGGTATGTAGCCTACTATTTTTAATATGTACTGTAAATACATATAAGTTTTGATTTGTGGAAATACAAACATGTATAAATTATTACTGCACAGCTTTCGACCAGGGTGCATTTGGTGTAATTGCTACGCCAAAAGGATCGCAACACTACACCAACATCTCACCCTGACTTATTCTTCTGACTAGCACCCATGCTGCTTTTTATACCGATTGAAAGCTTTGCAATAATGAATTTGGTCAAGGCCGGCGAGAGCCAACCACAAGCCCCAGGACAAAATGACGATTGGGGAACACAGGCAGGGAGTCCCTCTCGACTCTCCCACGGACTATTTTTAAATCGCAATCAACGAGAGAATTGCCAGGGAATTACTTGCAAGAAATCGTGCATAACTGATAAAAACGCAATGTGAACAATGTTCAGCCAACTGTTTTTCGTTTATTTCACATTTGGTATGTTTTATGATCAATGACGATAATCAGTGGTTAGTGTGCAAGTAGGCGTATTTCATTTAGGACAAACACAAAGCGATGATAAACAATACCAACATTTTACCGAGATTTCCGGGCCCCTCAGAGCACTCCGAGCCCTGGGTATTTTTCCCCCCTGCCCCCCCTCTCCCCCCCTCTCCCCGGCCTTGAATTTGGTAGCAATGGTATAGGTAGGGTGCAATGCAACTTGATTAGGTTAACTAGCTTAAAGTACAATTTTAAATGTCCGTAACTCCAGACGAAGCTTAAGGCAAATAGTCTGATTCACCAGTGAAATCACCTGGCATTATAGACCAATTGCGAAACTTAGTAACCACGCCTTCGCATAACATGAAAACGAGGCTTATTATGCAAAACACAAAATTCTATTTTTTGTTTTGTTCGAAAGTCAAAGAGTGAGGCACCAAGTTTTATGGCAGTTTTCTCTCGTTTTATCAAGTTTTTAGATACTTTTTCAGCATAGTCAAATCAATTATTATCCTAGTTATTAGTATAGATAGTTTTTTCTTCATCTGACGCGTTTTCGTGGGGTCTTTTTAATCATTTTGATGGTGAAGGCCGGTGGAAATATCATGGAAAACATCGAAGCAAACTCAGGTAAGCAAACCTTTTTTGCGAAATAATTTGTTATAAAGTTATTTTACCATTTTTGAGGACCCCAGTTTGATTTTTTTAAACACGTGCATCAATTTAATTCTAATATCCGGTTTGAAATCTGCCAATTTCCGGCGAAAATATTTTAAGTTTTCTGCAATGCGTTTGTAAAAAGGTCAGCGCCATTCTTGTTCTGTTTTGAAACTGTTTACATCGCAATTTGTTTTACAAAAAATGGCAATATTTAAATCATGACATAACAAATATAAAAGGAAATTTTAGCTGGTGTGATAAGATGAAATGTCTCATCGATTGTTTGGTTTCTTTTCGT